TAAAAAAAATAAATCTTAAAAAAAAAATAAAAAAATAAAACTCATTGTGTTTCATTTTAAATAATCCATCCAATTACTTCCTCCACACACAAATAAAGGTATACAAAACAAAAAAGATTAGAAAGGGTTCTGGTTCAATGGTAGAGGATTTGTCTAGCACTTATTTAGTAATACCACAAAAATTTAAAGAGAAAAACACACACACCCCCCCCAACATACTAATGGATTTTCCTCCTCACTGAGGCTTACAATCACCCTGCCTTTTTAACAAATCCCTTCCTTGCACCTCAGGTAAGCGAATGGCCAAGGACACCTCCTAAAAGTCCCTTCCCCTTGGGCATGCTTGCCTCTCTGGTGCATTCATTTGCTGCTTTGCCCAACAGTAACTCACTGAGCTGTGAGCCAGGAAGCATCTGGGACACCAGGGCTGTGTCCAGGAACAAAGCAAGATCCCTGCCTTTGTGGAGCTTTGTTCAATAGAGGGGAGAAAGTTGTGGTTTGTTTTTTTTGTTGTTGTTTTGTTTTGTTTTTTAATGGAAATAGAGCTTTTGCAAATGGAAATGGGAACAAGAGCTGAAGGGAGCAGAGGGGAAGGGGACAGAAAAAGAACTAAGATGTGTAATGAGCATGTGCAACCTCCCACAATAAATGTAATCACTATGTACTGCAAACATGTACTAATAAAAATTTAAAAATATGTAAATCATCTAGATGCTTATAATGGATACAAAACAGAACAGAAAGAAAATCAGGCATTTGGGGCTTTGGGTGCAGATGGAGAGGGGCAGGGGCAGTGTTAAACTGGATGTCGGTGTCAGGGCGGGCTGGGTGGGGCCTAACTTCAGGGAAGTGAACCTATGTGTCTAAGACACCCGGCCACAAGGCACAGCCTCAGCAAAGGCCCCAGGTCAGGGGGATGTGTCTGAGAACAGCAAGGAGGCCAGCGGGGAAGGCAGATGGTGCAACACCTGCCACTGCTCCAAGGCCTTTCGATCTTGACTCTGATGGAGGCCGTGACAAAGTGGAGAGCACAGGAGACACATGGCCCAGCGTCATTTATAAAAGGGCCCACTGGCTGCTGCACCGCGATCACACTTGCACAGGCAGCGCTGACAAGTGCCCAGTACAAGATCCACTGTGAAGGTTTAGCCGCAGGTTTCACCAGTGGAAGGAAGAGGGATGTGAAGGAAAGAGGCATCAGATGATGCCTCCTTCCGAGGTTTCAAGGAAGCAGGGATAAGGCTGGCTGCAGAGGAACAGGCTGAAGACTGCATGCGCAGGCCCAGCCAGGATGGGCTGCAAGTTCTGCTAGGCTGCCAGCAGACAGGCAAGGGGGGCAGCTGCATAGCCTACCCCTGCCTGGCTCAGGAGCATAGTCTCAGATGTGGATTGTCTGTGATCTTTATGAGTAGAGGTCCTATTGGGAGTTAGAGGCAAAAGCCTGTCTCAGATGGGTTTAAGAAAGAATTGGAGTAGGCCAGACATGGTAGCGCATGCTTGTAATTCCAGCATTCTGGGGCTGAGATAGGAGGATTGCTAGGAGTTTGAGGCCAGCCTGGGCTATACAATGAGTTTAAAGCCAGCCTGAACTACATAGGAAGAAAACTGTCTAAAAAAAAAGAAAGAAA